AAACACTGTTGTGTAAAACTCTCTTAAAAGAAAAACAGAAAGCCCAATGATTATATCATGTGTATCTTGTACTAGAGCTAAATGTTTATAAAGAGGGATTAATTTTTTTTTTTCCTCCCTGGCAAAGGCTAAAGTAAATACAATACTGGAGAAAATATGTGACATGCACTCAACACTGAAGAAACATGTTTGGATACAGTGCAGTGAGGAACTCGCAGAAGAATCTAACACCATAAAAATTCTGAGCTTCCAGCTTGCTGTCAGTGCTCAAATCTCTCAAAGCAAAATTTGGGTGAGTTTTCTTTTGAGATGTGGTCAGACGGTGCTTACAAGCTCCATTAACTGATTAGTTAGTAACAGGAATGAAAAACATTTCATAGGTTAACAGAGGTTATCAGGCAGCAACACAGAAATGAGGGCACAAAGCCTTTCCCCTCCTCCTGCTTCCTGCAACCCCACAGCTCAGGTTTTGGCTCATAGATGCTTACTTTGTTCTCTTTTTTTTTTTTTGTCCCCTGCTGCTAATGTGGAGGACCTGGTGTGATGTCTGTGTTTGGGACAGACAGGAATTTGGGGTGCCTGGCTCTTGGTGTCCAGGCTGGGCATCACAGCCTCTCCAGACTGGCAGGTTCACTCCCAGAGCTTGCTGCCTTCAGCTTCTGTGCAACAGCTCCCTGTCTCGCTGATTTTCAGAGATTAGAGCTCTGCTTTCACAATCATTAATGCCACATTTGGGCAATGCCTGATCTCACAGAAAACTCATCCAGCCCAGGCAGGTGTGAACACACAGCCCTGCTTCTGCTGAATCAGAGCAAGAGCATGATCAAGAGGGAAATCAATAGCAGCTCTGGTTTAGTACCTGCCAGGAGGAGTCTGGCATGATGGCAATTTCAAACAGCTGTGGATTAGCAGCCTGAGATTACACCTGATCTGCCCTGCAATTCCGATGGCTGCAGCATTTTGACCAAGATCACTGGCTCTACAGCTGGACTTGTTCTCAAAGAGTGCCCTCAAATAAGTCCAAAAATTACCTTTTGATCTTAACTCACTTCCATGAGAAATACTTATCCAGTATAAAACTAAAAACCAACAACCATATGTGTAATTCAAACTTAACTCATGCTCCAACCCACCTGCTGAATTTACATTTTCATTTAAATGTACCAAAGTCAGCAAAGACATGACCAGCACTAGGTTCCTTGTAGCTGTTTCCAGAAGAGGGGAAGTGCATCCCTGTTACTAAACCCTTAGCTTTGAGCTCTCAGAAGGATTAATTTCCCTTCTGATCCCCCTCAGCATCCCAGTCAGACAGCACAGATTTTGGCAGGTGGAGAGGCCAGACAGAGCCCTGCCCAGCTTAACAGCATCACACCAGATGGAAAACGTCTGGATTTGCAGATGGAGGAAGAGCTTAATAGAAATACTCTCACGATGAGGTGAGACTTCCCCAAAAATGTGCACTTTAGGAGCTTCAACATGTAATTTTTTTATACATAGAACGCTACACAACATCCCATCTTCATTACTGGAGCTCCACTAGCAGTGCAGCAGAACTGCTTACATCTAATCCAGAAAGGAATGCAACAGGTAAGTCTGTCTCTGTCAGGCCTCTGTACTTTCTCCCTCCCTCTCACATACAGTTGTTTAGGATTAAGGTTTAATAGCTTTTTTTCTGGACTGAGGAACCACAGAATCTATTCTCTTCATCTCCTGCCAGACGTAGCACCCCAGTCATCTCCCCACAAACTGCAGTTGGGACCCACTCTGTGAAACACCAAATGCTTCCCAGTGCCCTTGGATTCCACCAGCAGCTCTGGGGTGCAGAGCAGCACAGACGTGTTGGTGTCATGGCAGCTGCCTGTTTAAAACCCGTAAAAAGAGAAACGGGGCCTGAATTTTCAAGTGTTTCAGTTTCAAGGTTTAACCTACCAAGCACTCAGGATGCCCTTGCGAGGCTGGGACAGCTGCAGGGTGTCTAAAACGCTCCACCCAGTGGCAGAAAGCTACACCTGCCTGAAAAAGTAAATCCTGCACAGTTCTACACGGGCAATAAATCCCACACGGGCTTTCTTTCCCCACACGGATCAAAAAAAGAAAGAAATCAACATTTTCGTCATACTGCATAGTAGAAACTATTCATGTAAAGAATATAACTGAGCCTAAAGTGGGAAAAAAAAAAAAGTATGCACTCAGTACACTCAAAGTATGTGATTATCCCTCTAAAATCTAACACATTTCTTATCTCCCACTTCTTCCAGGACACTTAAATTCCCGTAATCCCAACTGCTCTCAGCAGAGATGCCTTAATTTCCCAAAGGCAGAAACACAGTTCCACCATTGTTACATCCAGGAAATCAGAGAACATAGCTGGGAATTAGTACAAGGATCAGGTATTCCTGCTGTTATTCTGCAATAAATGATAGGGCTTACTCGCAAAGACAAGCTCAGACCAAAGCCTCAAGGCTCAGCACTCCTAGGGAATGTGGAAGATAGGCTCAGGAATAAAACATCAATGCTTATGCTCATCTTTAACGATAACTCAGCAAGAAAAAAGCCAGTATTTTGAATCCCTGCCTATAGCACTGGGGTTAGAAGTAGATGATCTTTAATGCCCTTTCCAAACCAAACCATTCTGTGATTCTGTATTCTGAAGCACAGTAAATTGTGTTGGTGCAGGGCCTAGCACAGAACCTGGTTTTGGCCTTCTGGGAATGCCATGCTCTAGGCTTAGAAGTGAAATCAGGAACTACAGAAGAGGAACGCAGAGGGATTGTCACTGGTCTCAATCATTCAAGAGTTTAATTTGCACAAAGATTTAGATGGGATCTTGGGCAGGAATTGCTGGCTGGCAGGGTGGGCAGGCCCTGGCACAGGGTGCCCAGAGCAGCTGGGGCTGCCCCTGGATCCCTGGAAGTGTCCAAGGCCAGGCTGGAACAATCTCACCTGGTGGAGGATGTCGCTGCCCATGGCAGAGGCTGGAATGAGACAATCTCCAAGGTCCCTTCCAACTAAACCATTCCGTGATTCCATGAACACATCACTGACCTGGCTGACCTCAGCTGGGTGATGTGGAAGAAGCTCCAAGTGTTACAGCAGCACTGCCTGAAGTCCCAGTAACTTCATGGGAAAGGATTTTTCACTGCCTCACTTTAGTGTGGCAAAGCCTGTCAGCAGAGGTTCTTACAGAAAATTAACAGGAATGAAAAATTAAATTATATGGGAATAAGCAGTTGGCTCACACTGCAAAGAAAGGTTACTGGCAGGAGGATGTACATCATCTGTGCTGATAACACATCTGTCAAGCTATCTGGAAGCTGTAGTTTATGCATAAAAAGTTCTCTGGAAAATAAGGTAGACATCACGATGCATTTTGCAGAAAATACACCATAATTCAAGATGACCAAATGCAGCTCTCATGGCTAGAATTACACATGAATGTCAAAGATGTGAGTGATAAAAAGGGGAAATGAAACATTATGTGCTAAATAAAGCACATGAAGGGGATTTACTGCAAACACACATTGATGAGCTCAGAAAGAACTGTTATTGCAGAGGGATAAGATCCTGGAAAACATATCCAGTTCTCTGAAAATCAGAATTCAGTAATCATCCACAGTCAAATAAATTCCTGCCCATAAATTCCTCCATGAGGGCAAGAAGAGGAGCAACACCTATCCATGATCTCTGTGACCAGTGACCAGACCTGAGGGAATGACATGAAGCTCTGTAAGGGCAGGTTTAGGTTGGAGATCAGGGAAAGGCTCTTCCCCAGAGGGTGCTGGCACTGCCCAGGCTCCCCAGGGAATGGGCACAGCCCCGAGGATGCCAGAGCTCCAGGAGCCTTTGGACACCCTGCCAGGGATGCTCAGGGCGAGATTGCTGGGGATCTGGGCAGGGCAGGAGCTGGTCTTTGTAGTTCCCTTCCAGCTCAGATTATTCCATGCTTCTATGGTTCTAAGAAGGAACAGGGAATTAGTTATTGGTTATTACAGAAGGCACTGTGGGTTATTAAACAAAAATCCTCCTGCAAAAGATGTGGCAAAATCCACATGGCAAATGCAATTTCAGCAGTGAAATCCCAGTAATCCAAATTTACTATGATAAGAGTAGAAAGAGAAAAACTGATACTGTAATAGATAAACATCTGGTTTGCTGCCCTACAGCAGCTGGGTTGGTTGGTTGCAGATTTTTTTAAATCCATATAAACAGTGCTAAATATCTCTACAGTTGTTAAATGCACCCATGAAAACCCCTGGGAAGGTGATCAGCATATTTCAATTGTTATCCATCAGCTGTAGCAACACCTGCCTTGACCCGAATTTCCTGCTAAGCTAGGCAGACAGGTTTGAGTAACTGCCTGGCTTTCACAATCATCCCCTGCCAGCAGAGTGGCAAGAAGCTGTTGCAGGTAAGGAATATTTGACAGTGGACACAGAATGAGCAGGAGTAAAGGCTGAAGTCTCTGGTGCTGTTCCAGGGCTATGGAGAGCTGAGTGCTGTCCCTGACAGGGCTCTCCCAGTGAGTCCCTGATGCAGACACGCACATCAGAGCAAGCTGCGAGCTGTGCACGGCAGCCTGAAGGACTCCAGCGAGCACAAAGACTTCATTTCACCTCAATGTCCTGCTGGTTCTGTCAAACAATTCGTAACTCCAACTCCACTGCATCTGAGGCAGCTTCCTCAGAGCTGCACCTCCCAAACTGGTCAAGAACAGCCACACACCAACAGACCCAAGAAATATGGGTGATACTATCAGAGAAAGTTTAAGAAAGAGATGGTCAATCCATGCAGTTACTGTGTGATAATAGCCCAGATGCAGCCACAGCCCTTCTCAAAGGCCTGGCAGATTTGTTGGAGTTCTCTAGAAACTACCTTATAAACACCAGTTATTCCTCAACCAAAAGAAACACTCTCTCCAAAACCCAACACTGATTTCCCAGAAGTAACAATTCTCACACTGATTTACTTTAAAAATAAACTAACAAACAGAACACCAAGCCTTTTTTTCTTTGTGTGTTATATTTATTATTCTTTTGGGAGGCACAATGAAAATTTCAGCTTCTGCTCCTTTCCCTTGCAGAACAGCAGGGTACAGGTTAATAGCCATCAATCTACAATCAGTATATACTTCAGAAAGTCTCTGATTACATTTTCACATTTCCTGATAATAAAAGAGGCACATGTGCCAGACAGTGTCTGTAGCTGAAATAAGTTTAAGCAACACTTGCTTAAAAAGCTACACTGACTGCTATTTTAAGGCAGGTTGGGTGAAAGTTTGACAGGCAATATCCCCAGGAAATGAAAATAATTTTGCCTACAGAAATACATTGATTGAAAAGAGGCTTTTAGAAAATACTTAATCAGTGTGAAATTATATTGATGCTGCACTTCCTTTAGTTAGAAAGACATCAATGAATTTTTTTTGTTCAGAATTCTGACTTCTCGGTTGTTCCTTTACCTTGCAGGAAAGGCAGGCAGCGATGCTCTGGTGTCAGAGGAGGCAGGTTTCTCGGGGAATCAGCAGCTCAGGCCAGGCTGCAGTGCCCAGGAGGCTTCAGGCTGTGTTCTCAATGAGCACAGCAATGCCTTGCCCACCGCCGATGCACGCTGACCCAACCGCGTACTTCCCGCCACGGCGCCTGCTCAGAAACAGCAACAGGGAAGATCAGTTACCTGCAGGGAGCCACAGCACCTCCTGTCCTGGTTTTATGAGAGGAAACCAGCTACCAGCTGGGTGTCACTGACAATGACATTTCAGAATGCCTATGTTATTTTTCTAGTAAAATACCACGAAGTATTAAGTGCTGTTGCAATATTTCTGAACAGTGACTTTAGACATCATCTGGTTACACCCCCTGCCACAGGCACAGACTTGTTCCACTAGACCCCACCTGAACATTTCTGGAGCAGTTTTAAACTACCTGAACACTGCTGAGGTAGTTTTTAAATGCTAGGTTTCCTACAACCACACTCCAAGAAACAGATTTCTGCAAGGTGCAAACGAATCTGAAGTTTCATGGCTGAGCACTAAGACAGTGTTGCAAGTACAACCAAAGAGACATAGTGATCTCTACCCTGAGGGGGGAATTAAAATGGTGCTAAGCATATTAAGCAAGCTAAAGAGCCAGAATTTCTGAAAATGGGCTAAAGGAGAGAGAAGGTGACAACAAAGTCTTTTAAAGCATCCCCTTCCAGTAGCTAAAGGACTTCACACATGGGAGGGAAAGGGCAAGGGGGAATGGCTTCCACTGCAAGAGGGCAGGGACAGGTGGGATACTGGGAGGGAATTGCTGGCTGGCAGGGTGGGCAGGCCCTGGCACCGGGTGCATAGAGCAGCTGTGGCTGTTCCATCCCAGACAGTGCTCAAGGCCAGGTTGGATGGGGCTTAGAGCCACCTGGGATAGTGGAAGCTGTCCCTAGGACTCCATGACTCTATGAAATGCACCACGTTAAGAAGAGAACAGACTTTGCTCAAAGGCCATTTCAAAAAAAGAAAACCTTCCCACAGGCTCCTGGAGGCTTGAATCAGACGTAGGTGAATAATGAATGCTGTCATGACGACAGGATGGGATGTGAGGCAAGTGCAGGACCTGCCCTGCAGCACAGAGGTGGCAAATTAGTACAAAAAGCGGCCGATTCCAGCCAGGAGAGTTTTAGGCTGGCTGACTGGAAGAGCTTAGTCACATGGTATCCGTGCTCAAAATCCATCCAGCAGGCATAAATCCATCCAGCAGCAGTGCACCCACGCTGAGCAGCTGCTGTCTGTGTGCATACCTTAATTCATGCACCAGGTGAGCTGTGATCCGTGACCCCGAGGCCCCCAGAGGGTGCCCGATGGCGATGGCACCTCCGTTGACGTTGGTTTTCTCAGGGTCAAGGCCCAACACCTTTTCCACAGCCAGATACTGAGGTGCAAATGCCTCATTTACCTAAAGCACCAGAGAAAGGACAGAACTTTAACACCAGCCTTCAGCAGTATGTGTGCAAACAAGATTAAATGAGGTGAACTGGTCCTCCAGGTCCTTCTGAAACGTTAAATGCTGTGTTTACAACAGCATGCTCAGCCAACACACATCTGTCAATCCAACCCAACTAAATTCAAATACTAAGCAAGTATGAGGTGTATTTTCTAAAAAAAAAGTACAGTATGTTCTGAGGCAGTGGGTCCATGAAGAGCCTGCTGCTCTGACAGAAAAAGGCCCTGTTCACATGTATCACTAAATAAAAACATGAGCAGTCCAGCCAACGGAGTAAAACATCATGTCACATGAGGATATTTTTGTTCCACGGAATGCGATCACACCATTTCCAGTTTCCACGTGCCTGGGATTTTTGAGGTGACTGTGCAGCAGAAGCTGGATGGACAGAGGTCAGGCAGGTTCCTGACAGGCAACAACACCTACATGGCATGAGTGGAATCCTTCTGCTAAAAAGATAAGGGGTAAAATCACTGCTCTTGTAAAAACATCTCACCTCTACTAAATCCATATCCTTCAGGGTCAGTCCTGCCTTCTTCAAAACCTCTGTTATTGCAGGTACAGGGCCTGTTTGGAAATCACATGCAGTTAGTTAAATTTAAAAATAGGATAAATTCATAAAGCCTCATTAGAACCCCTCCCACGAGCCTCTGTGCAGACAATGAATTCTGGATATGCCACTCATGTGCTTTATTAGGTGGTAAGAGAGCTCCTAAATCTCAAAACTACTTGGTCTCCTTGCCAACATACAGCCAGAGAAAGCCAAGAGTGCCACTACTGCAGCACACAGAGCTTTTGAGTCAAGAGAAGTGACAGTCCCCAGGGGAAAAAAACAACTTCACAATGGTTTTGAGGCATTTTCCTTCGCAGTACTCTTGGTTCCATTTATTCTTTCCTCACAACTTGCAGCCTCCAGGTAAACAAAACGGGAGAAATACAGGCTGCTCTAGAGTTTGCTGGTCATGTGCTTAGTTATGGGTATTGTTGTTTTGGTGTTCTTAATATAGCTGAAAATCTTCTTGTAAAAAGCCAAATGTTTAATTAGTTTATTCCAAACAATTAAATGCTCCCTCAGAGCCAGGCCTTGGACAACTGAAGAAAGTAAGATTTTGGGTTTCAGACTATTAAGACTTTGGCAACAACACTGTCCTCTGGAAGAAAGCTGCCTTCTTTAACCTAATACAAACTACTAAGGGAAATTAATCCCAAACACAGCTAGCTAAGGAAACACACACTCAAAGAGAATTTGGAAGGGTTAATCAGGTACATGCCTGTAGGAGAAACATACTGAGATGTTGGGTGGTGGCTGATCATTCCATTCTAAAACACCAACAATCCTACATGCTATCACACCACCAAAAAATGGCATTGAAAACACAGAGCTCAAAGAATAAATACATTAAAATAAGTAAAATTACCAAAGAGACAGAAAAATTAAAAGAAGTAAGGGACGAGTTCAGAGCTCAGTGAAGTTTCAGGGAGCCCCAGGCAGCTCAACACCAGACTAAGTGCATCTTATTAGGGAAGGATTTTAGTATGCCTGTTACGCATGAGAGTAATGGCAGGGTCTCATGTAGACAACACAAAGACCCCTAATGACAGCCAAGTAAACTTTTCCCCCTCTCTCTCTTTTCTAAAACAATGAATTCTGTCACTGAACACTGTGAGACAGGACCTGCTATCAGTATGTGAAAGGACAGTGGCTCAGACTGAGCTCCTGTTTGTCAGATCTGCTGCTGTCACATCAGTAAACCTCATCTGGTCTCTCTGAGCTGCTGGGGACAAACTGTGGTGTGAAGGAGTTTGGATTCTAAGTGATCCTCCATATGATTTATTAAGTTTTTAAACAAGCTAGGAGAGTTGCCTGAGCTAGAGAGAATGGGCTAGTTTAGGAAGCACAATGCCAGCACCAGGTCCAGCAAAACAAACCCTCCCTCCACGTTTGCTTTGAAGGCTGTGTCAGTCAGACAGTCTGAGCAGGAAAACAAATCTGACAATGCCTCATTTGCATTTCTACTGACACACAGAACCTGCCAACAACAGCTCCTCTGAACAGAGCACAGAGAGGAAAAGCAATGCTGGGACACAATGCTGTCTGCAAACTAAAGTGAAGGGAAAAATCCTGTGGTGTCTGGATTGGCTTTGAGGGACTGTTTGCTCTAAGAGAGGAAACAGAAAATACCTAATGAGGAAACAGAAAATATGGGACTAAAGCAACCAAGAAAGGGTTTGGTTTCCCAAGTAATATCTGAACAGATGCATATCCTGGGATTCAAGCAGCCTGAGCCACTGAGTAACTGCTGAAAGGTCACAATACCCCATCAGCAAGAGGTGAGGCAGACAACTCACAGTTACACATATTATTAAGGGATTTAGAGCTTACAGGAAACAAAAGTGAATTTTAGGAGAAAATGGTTTTAAAAAATGTCTGAGTGTTTGTTTTCTTGACTGAAAGAGACAGTAAAAAAGGGGAAGAAAGAAGAGCCTGGGGGACTATGCTCGTGCTGTTACTGTGGGTCAGACACTGCTCACACCCTTCCAGCCAAACTGAGGAGCAAAGCTGTCCCTCTGCACAACAGGGATGGACTGACACAGCAGGCTGGACAGCAGGACACACAAACACCTTCAGAGCCACCAGCCTGAGCACAGTGAAGCATCCTTTCCTTTCCTTTAGAATGCCCATGGCAAGAACATTTTAGTGCTGCTTTAAGCTATAAATTATGTGCTTTTATTGCAACTTACCAATGCCCATGATGGAAGGGTCACAGCCAGCTGAGTGATAAGCTACTATTCTTGCCAGAGGAGTGAGACTGTGCTTTTTAAGTGCTGATTCACTGGCAAGGATGACTGCACCAGCTCCATCACACACACCCTGGCAGTAAGAGAGAAGCACTCTTAGTGAGAAAATACAAAGAAACAAAAAAATCCTCACACTCTTTAACCCCCAAAACCGGCTTGAGTCTAAGGTACTATAACTAACATTTAACAATGTTTCTTCAAAACAACAAAAAACAATCTGGGGGAAATAAAGTTAAATACAGATAAATGTTTCATGAATTCTAATGTGTTAGAAAAGAAAAGTAAGTCTTCCGTGCATTGGAAATATGATTCTGCTGACTTGCAAGAACACTATTAATAATGGATAATGTATGTGCTATTAATTACAAAAGATACTTTACAGACACCCACACTTACTGTGGCTATGATCTATTTTAGGCATGAATTGAGACTATGATCACAGCACTCCATCTGGCCCAAAGCACTTTAATCAATTAATTAAGATAATGACTTTCAGAGGAACAGTCCACAATGACATGCTGCTAAGCACTGAGTATATTCTGGGTAAGACCAGAATGTGGTTTGGGGGAGTGAGGACAGTAGCTGTCAAAGATGAACAGCAGCAGTATGCACACTAAAAAAAAAAAAAGTAGGTTTAAAGCAAGTAAGTTCAGTTACCACTGTCCCCCAAAAAAGTAGAGTGGTTACACAACCACTGCAGCCCCAGCTGCGCAACTCAAGGCTGATGAGGAAATGCCAATGCCCCACTGCAATATCAGTGGCAATCCACAGAATCAAATTTAGGACTGAGGAGCTGACTGAAGGATCCCCTGGCACCTGCCAGGATCACCTGGCACGAGGCTGGGAGAGTCAGCTGGGGCATTTAGCTGCAGAATTAGAAGTCATTTTCGTCAGGAGACACCACCGAGAGCCAACTCAGTGAGAGATAAAAACAGTGGCAATAAATTTGGAGAACCACAGAGGGGACATGTGCCCAACCCAAGGGTCTGATGTACTCACTGAAGCATTCCCAGCTGTGACTGTTCCATCCTTCTTAAAGACACATGGGAGTTTTGTCAGCTGTTCCATGGTGGTCTGGGGTTTGGGGTGCTCGTCCTTTTGCATGCTTTCTTTACCCTTTTTTGTCTTCACTTCAATTGGTGCCATCTCAGCCTTAAAGTAGCCAGCATCATTAGCTGCAACCACAAAAAGGAAAATATAAAGGACCTGATAAAAACATCAAGATGATTTCCTAGCATGACCAACAATCATATTTTCATGTGCACACAGCTTCTTGCTCTATTCGAACCAAAAGTTCAGGGACAGCAATATTTGTGCTTTATTTTGCTTATTTATTGTTGGGGTTTTTTTGTGGTTTTTGTTATTTTAAGAAATTGGGCAAAAACTAAACAAGTACACTGTCAAACTTCTCCAAAGAAAGCCTCAAATACTGAAACTTTATTTCGGGTTTAAACAGCTAAACTCTTTCTGGTTTGGTTTTTTTTGTGTAAACCACTAGGTTTATTTTTAGTATATATTCCCCTTTCCTGCTGCTTTATTTTACAACCATGTAATTTCTCAGATGACCAAGATGTAAATCTCACTCAGAGAGGAATGTGCAAAAAACCTCCTGAGCCACATTGTTTCTGTCGATAAAATACTGTATATCAATCAAAATCCTGCTCAAGGTGATCCTCCAAAGGCTCTTACCGCCAAGCAGGAATCTCGGAATGAGATTCAGCTGCCTAAACAACCTAAAACAATTCAAGTCATTGGAGGTATCTAAGATGCCCAAAAAAGCATCTGGCCAGATTGCCTAATATAACATGAGAGAGATCTAAAACTAAGACATTGAAATTGTCAGATCTTATGTTGTTTAGCTACCTCTGGGCTTCTCAATAAATTCCTCAAAACCTTTTTCTTTCCTGATTACACACAGGGCTCTCTCTCTACTGTGGGATAAGATGACCTGGTCCTACAGGCAGAAATAAAAACAGCAAGCTAAGATCCTAGAAAACACGAAACACAGTTTCTAGCAAAGGCTCCAGGAACTGCAGGAGTAAGGTAACAAGAGGAACAAGTAGGAAAGGTAATAAACGATGAAGAAATGTTACAAAAAGCACTTCTACATCATTAGAAAAAATACAAAATCTTCCTTCAAGAGTGCAGCTGTTAAAATGCACCATCATTAGAATCTAAAACCATGTTTAGATCTTTCCTTCTTATGTTCACCTTTGGCCTGCAATGTATGTTGAGTCCCAGGATGGCCACTGCACATTCAACTGGATTTTGGCCTAAACTTCACAGAAACTGAGTCATGGAAACCTGGGATGGTTTGGGTTGGAAGGGACCTTAAAGTCCATCTTGCTCCAACGCCCTGCCACGGGCAGGGACACCTGCCACTGTCCCAGGCTGCTCCAAGCCCCATCCAGCCTGGCCTTGGGCACTGCCAGGGATCCAGGGGCAGCCACAGCTGCTCTGGGCACCCTGGGCCAGGGCCTGCCCACCCTGCCAGCCAGCAATTCCTGCCCAAGATCCCAAAATCTGTGCCTGCCCTGTGGCAGTGGCAGCCATTGCCTGTGTGCTGTCCCTGCAGGCCTTGTCCCCAGTCCCTGTGCAGCTCTCCTGGAGCCCCTGGAGGCCCTGGCAGGGGCTCTGAGCTGTCCCTGGAGCCTTCTCTTGTGCAGGGGAACAGCCCCAGCTGGGCCAGGCTGGCTCCAGAGCAGAGGGGCTCCAGCCCTGGCAGCATCTCCGTGCCTCCTCTGCACTGGCTGCAGCAGCTCCACGTCCTTCTTACATTGGAGGCCCAGAGCTAAATGCCTCTGAATTATGGTTTTGGGCACATAAACCACCCAGAGAACAGTTTAAAACACAGCTCCTAAACAAATATCCCCTCTTCAGAGTCCATGTGCTCTGACTGTTCAAGCATTCAAGAACATTCAATTTGCAAAAGAAAGCAGAGGATTTAGATTAATTACAGCACTTGCTGGCTCACAAGGAGGATGTGGGTCACTTTGGAAGACTGTTCTGCCGTGGAGAGGAAAGAAAGGAGTGCAGTCAGGCATGCCTGGGACAATGCTGCATCCCACCAGAGGGGCACCAACAAATGACATTCACCAACATGAATCCTGCTCAGGCAGGAGCTGACCCGTGACCAGCCAGTGGTGTTTGCTGCCTCAACAGCTAAGGAATGTCCCTGAGGAAGGCACAGGAAGGCAGTGGAAAGGAGCTCCCACTAAACCTTCTGAGGGGTGCAACACCTCACAGCACAATTTCAAAGTCAAACCCCCGCTAAGAATGTGTTATTTGTACCATGGGGACAAAAAAATCACACATTACAGCACGCAAACAGAAGGACAAGAGCACCAGGAGCCAGAGAAACCCTTAGAACACCTTGAACCAATGCTAAAAACTGATCAGACTTGAAATTGGTGTCACATAAACGCCTCCACTGCTCGATTCACTCACCAGCTTTGCACCTCTGCTGGGTTTTGAGCGCGTACCGGTCACAGTCCTCCCGGGAGATGCTGTACTTTGCAGCCAGGTTCTCAGCTGTCACTGCCATAGGTATTTTAACATGTGTATCTGTTAGGGCTTCCCACAACGTGTCTTCCAGCTGTGGAACATCAGAAGAACATCAGAAGAAGAAAATCAGAAAGCATGGCAATACTATATTTATTACTGACAGCTTCTAACTGTTCAGCGGTCTCTTAGAAACTAATGGCTCTTTGTAAAATTAATTCAGGTTACCTACAGATAATTTACTGATTTATTAGAATGAACATAATACTGATTTATTAGAATGAAAAACAGTGTGCAAGTTCTTGGGTGATATTCTAATTAATCTCCACTGCACTCTAGTGCAATTCTTTCTTCACACACACATGGCCACAAGAGGCTCGGGGAAAGCTTTAGATTTTTAATATTTCATCATATTTTGCTTCTGTATTAATTATTTCTTAGAGCCCTGTGAGCAAACTTCCTGGTTGCCAGGAATGAAATGGGAGGCACTGTGAGAAGGCACAACAGCCTAATGATTCTTTAGCTCTTTCTCTACTGTCAGGTAAAATCCCCTTACTAGAGTCAAAGGTTTCTGTGGGTATAACATCTCAGGGGAGAAGATACCCATGTTTACCTTCACTCAACCTGATAAAGGTAAGTCCAGTCAGTTCAGATGGGTTTTGTTATCTCTGTCAGTAGTAAAGTTCTGCAGGATAATGCATTCATTCACCTGTCACTGTGTAATTCAGTTATCTTTATGGTAAGAACATAGCTGCACCTACTTGGTGTATCAGCACCCTTGTGAAGGTGCTGCCTGCAGGACCTGTGCCACACAAGAACAGAACCAAGGACATCATATTCACCATCTTCACAATGGAAATACAGTGGTGGAAAAAACCCCAAAGGGCTGAAACACTGAAATGTCCTAATTTTGCATTCTGATGTCAGTTATGACCTACTGAGTAAGTGGTTGCATGTTATCAATTTATCCTGCTGCACATTTCCCACAGTATTCACTTAGGACTTATCTTCAGAAGAAAATGTAAAGATAACTTCCTTGTCTTAACTTCCTTGTCAATGGATCCACTTTGAAACTGAGAGATGTTCACAGCTTGGAGATATATGTGCTCCTTACCAGTCTATCTATCTACTGCCAGCATTACTTGCCTAAACTGTGTGTGCCTCTGCTTCACAGACATTTTGTACGTAACACTTGCAGAGGATGTACCAAGTCAACTAAATTTTGTGTCCAAGAGCTTACTGGTATATTTAACATGGAACAGGAACTCAAAAATGGTTTTGAAAAAGCTGGAAAATGGGCACACTTCACCAAATGGCCTGAACCTACTGTTTTGATACTGCCTGAATACTAGATAAACGCTTTAAACTACAAATTCTGGATCTAATATCCAGTAATTTCATTTGCAAGGATTTAGTGCCTACAATCCTGATACTCAGCAATGCTTTGCTCACAGAACAAAGGAAGTACCTTGAGTTCTGCTCCTAATCTGGTTCCGAAGCGAACCTTTCGAACCGCGTAAGGAGCCTGGCTCATGCTTTCAGCTCCGCCACACAGAACAACTTCTGACTCATTCAGGCAAATTTCCTGTCAACACAGTAAAACAAAGCACATCCAGGATTTAGCTGGCTGTTTGAGTAAGAAAATAACAACTGTTTTAAGAGAAGGGATTGTCACCTGCAAAGCAATGAACTTAGAATGAATCCAAACTTAGCCATGGGTGTACACGCATGAAGGGTTTACCCTCCTGTTAATGGTGGGGTCTGTCTCCTTCATGCCATGTCCCTTTTTCTTCCTTTCAGCAAAGAATGATTGTATCCATGAGGGAAGAAGAGAATATGGGTGTGCACACGTGACAGAGCAGAGGAACAAAGACACCAGGCATCTGCATGCTTGTGTGGTTTGGTTCACAAATGGTTGCGCTTGTGGTTTTGAGCTCCCACTCTTCTCAAAAGGAATACAAATTACACTTCAAAGCCTGAAGTAAGACCTTACAATTAAAGAAAAAAATGGGACATAATAATTTTAGAAGACAATAGGTAGGTAGCTGCCGAAGTAAGTACCCAAAACACACTAATTCATCAATGGCAAAGCACACAAAACCTAAAAGCCGCAATTCTTAAATGCACCAACAGATCATTCGAAAATAGTACCTCCTTAAAATGCTTCACTGAGTTGGACTTTGAGGTTTTTTTATGAACTAGAATGAAAGAAAATTAAATTATCCCAGAGAAACTGTGGCTGCCCCATGCGTGGAAGTGCCCAAGGCCAGGTTGGACAGGGCTTGGAGCAACCTGGGATGGTGCACCCTCCCCATGGTAGGGGGGTCGAACTGGGTGTCCTTTGATGTGCCTTCCAACCCAAACAGTTCCATTATTCTGTGATCTAGATATGCATTTGAGATTTCTAGTTAATAACTTGTGTGTAGCAATACGTGCTGAGATGCTCCCTACAGTTACTAAAAACTTTGTGAGCACCTAAGCAGCGCTGGCTGCATTGAGAAATGCCATCTCTGAAAAGGACCTCACCACCATACTTCCAATAAACGTGGTCACATTCTGCAGCAGATTTTTTCAGTGTGGACAAACATGTGTATGGCCTTTGCAAAATGCACTAGGAAAAACAGTTGGGTGGATATTATTGCAAACACGTAACCTTATCTTCACATTTTTTCTTCTAGAGGATCAGACCTAAAATAATTCTTTAGCCAAGGAAAACAAAAAAAAATCCCACAAAATCAACAACCTGCTTGTTCAAGTATTCATAAAAGCAACGTATGAGCAAATGAAATAAAAATCCCTGTGCTCTGACTCAGTGGTTTTGGCCAGCTCCTCAAAGAGAAGCTCATTCTCTTCTATTTTAAAAGAAGTGACACCATGAACTACTTAACCCATGAGAAGTTTGGATCTTTGAGCAAAAGCATACTTAAAAAGCTCAGGTTGCTGCTTACACAGCTAGCCAGGTGAGAATACAAACAATGATCAAGAGATTAAAGACTCCTGGAGTCTAGTAATTCCAGTCCATACAAACAGGATTGTGAGATGAAACTGCAGCATAGCTGAGCTCCATTTCACCAGCTAACACTTGCTGCATTCCTCATATTCAACTGGGAATCACTACAATACTTACATTTTAAGAACCAACCACACAACGTGGCACTACAGTAGCTGAACTCCTGCAAAAAGCTGCACTGGACAATAGAAATCTCTACCAAAAATCCATGTCAAGACCCATCCCAAACACAAAGGACATGTTGTCCTAATGTTCCTAAAACAGCCTGACAAAAGCTACGACTGACACAGAAATACAGCTTTGTACCTGACAGCCATTGGCAATGGACTGGAAGCCAGAGCCACAGAGCCTGTTGACAGTGAGGGCTGGGACAGACATGGGAACTCCCACACGCAAACCAACGTGTCTTGCAATGTAGATGGCATCTGAGGAGCTCTGCAGGCAGAACAGGAAAGAGGTTTTGTCACACTCTCATTGGTTTGGAAAGCAAAAAAAGTCTTGATGGAAAGTCAGAGTGGTGTAATTGCATCCCAGACAGAAGATGGTGTATGTTGAGCAGAAATTTTATCACTCAGCAGAAGCACTTTGGTTTAGCTCAAGAAGACACTATCCTACAGGATCTGGAAGTGTCACTGTCTTAATATGCATTTTAAAGAAACTCTGTTAAGTCAGCAACTTTATGTTTTTTTTCCCTTATCCCTTATTTTCAAAACAGCACCCACACAGCAGGTTGACACAAGGGCAGATCCTGCCTGGCAAGCTGCAATTATTTTAAGGTAAATTAATATTGCTTAGACTAACAGGGGAAGGCCTCCCAAAACCAGAGAGAACACCTGTGCTCTTGGGGAACATGCCCCAAGCTAAAATGTATCATAACAACAAAGTTCTGTGCACACTGCTACAATACTATTCCAAGTTCAGAAAAAAAAAAATCAAGCCACTTCTGCTGAAGAAGGGGAGTTTGAAATAGTCATACATTCATAATTAATTAAACTTAATCAAACAATATCAATAAACCAGAAATTTTTTTTTAAAAATAAATCTACTGGCATGGAGAAGTATAATGCAAAGGAAAAGACATTTCAAAATCAAAAGAAACTTTATCAGGAGGTTGCTATATTTTATGTGAAAGCACTACAGGAGATGTGAGTGCAGCAATGCTTTCCTGGGCCACAAACAGCTCTTAAAAAAGTGAAAAGCTGAATAAAAGAAGCTTAGATGGTAGCTGTAGGAGACAGAATAATTTAAAGTTACTCTTTTGGCTGAAAATCCAAAGAAGGAATACCGCCTGTTTCTTTGCTCATTGTCCAAGTTCTCAGCTACTTGCTTCTTCTGCATCCTTGAAACATGCAGTGCAAAATAAAAGTCCCCACCCTTAATAGTAATGGTGAAATCAGAATACAAAGCAAAAAATAACTAGGAATGTTCTTCGCTGTCTTGCCTAAAACAAAGATCTTCATTTGTATGTGTGGGTAACTGCAGTTCAGCAATGCGTATCACAGCATCCTCTTTGGAAAAGACACAGTTGTCCAAATGTCTCTGCCAATCAAAGCATGTATCCTTTCAGCTCAAAGGAAACCCATGTTCACTCAAAAAAAATTCTATGGAAAGCACAAGAGAAATTGACTCAAATCACTTACAGGCTTAACACAGAAAGGGATTTATGCAACTCTTGAAAAACACCAAGTCACACAGCTCAAGCCATTAAAACAAGGGAAACATACCTGGGATTAGCAACTGACCAGTTAACTGACACATACTTTTAGGAGGTCAGCTCGTCCTGTCCCCGTTTAAACTACCTCTGGCGCTAAAAAAAGCAAGCTAAGCCTTGCTCCCAACAGTACCACAGATCACACAGGATACATCCCTCAAGCACAAGCAAGAAACACTAGACTGCAAACTGCAACTGACCCCTTTGGCTGCCATCCAGAGGCAGCTGTCTGCAGGGCCACACCGAGGGTGCCTGAAATAGCCCCCCGGAGCAGGAGATTTTCCAGGCTACCTGTAGCCATGATATTATGGAAAATCCTTTGCTGGGATTTTTCCTCTCCTGAGAAGCTGAGGAGCCTCAGGAGAGAAATGTAAACAATTACTATCTGCTGCTGTGGAATGCAACAGGTGCATCCGTGATTGGTCCATGTGGATTGTTTTCCATTGATGACCAATCACAGCCACCTGTGCCAAGGCTGTGAGCAGTCACAGGATTTTGTTATTCTAGTCTATTCTGTTCTTGTTGTAGCCTTCTGATCTCTCTGTTCTTTTAGTATAGTCTTAATGTAGCATTTTAATATAATATCTAACATAATAAATCAGCCTTCTGAAATGGAGTCAAGCCTCGTGTCCCCTCCACACACGGAGAGGAATCATCAACAGCTACCAACCTGCATGACGTTGCCCACCACGACGCTGTCGACGATCTCGGGGGGCACCTTGCCCGCGGCCAGCGCGGCTCGAGCGGCATGTTCCGTCAGGTCGGTGGCCGAGAAATCCTTCAGCGAGCCCCCGTAAGTCCCGAAGGGAGTGCGCTTGGCTGCCACGACGAACACACCTGCGGCGGGGGGCAGAAATTATCCACAGGCACAGCACATCGCAGGCAGGAGAGCGCCAAGCCAGCCTCCACCCCAAACTCACAGGAAACTTTGCAAGGCAAACGAGGAAGCTCGAGATAAGTAATGTAATGGTGCTTTAGACAGGGGAAGGCATGGAGAATTAACAGCCGGAAAGGAAAGCTGGGAAGATTCTGGGAATGCAGTGAGGTTTGACCACGAAGTAAGGTTGGACACACGTGTGGAGTCGGAGTAGGCTGCCACATGCATCAAAAATTAGTGCTAATGCACTAAAACCATGATAGTAACATCTAAGAAATCATGTAGTAGACACCTGTGAAAAAATTAGGTAAGGAACAGTGCTTTTGGCAGAGGCCATTCCCTTGTCCTAGAAAAATCAGCAGGTTTTTGGTTTATATGCAGAAACAGTTTCTGCTAAAAAAACCCCAAAAAACCCCAAAAAACCCAAAAACCACCAAAACTCAAACCAAACAATAAAGCACAACACCCCTCCCCCTGCTTTTTATATGCATTTCAATTTTGAGTACTTTAGCTTAAGAGGAGAAACATTCCCTAACCAAGAAATTCATGCTCCCGCCACCAGAAATACATATGCCACCTAAACTGCTTCATTGTGAATCTTCTGGTGTCTGAGAAGAAAATCCAGTTTTTACTAGGCAGGAGACCATGTGCAAGCACTTGTGAACAAATGCACGGGCCAGGAGCAGTCAGTACAAGCTCCAGCTCAGGGGAAGCCATCTCTGAACCGAAGCAAACCATCTCCTGGCTGCCTGCCACACTGGCTCTCTGCTCCCACGTGCAGAAAAACAAGTGGGAGGCAGGCTGTGAACTTTCCCCCAGTTGAACCGTAGCGCGCACAACCCCCGTTTCCACTGCTCCCATCAAACTCCCAGCTATTTTAGGGAACACTGCAGGGACACACACAGATGTAAGAACGCAGACAAATGAAAATGCCTGCTCATTGAGCTGCTCGTGAGCACTGATTTCAGGTCATCTGATCCGTGTGACTTGGCTGTTTTGTCAGAGAGAGGGTGCTCCTCCACCCCGCATGTATTTGCACCCCCAGGCTGCACGACTGCTAGAAAAGGACATTCCAAACTGGTCAAGGTCAAGGCTCCCCACTGATAAGGAGCTGAACAGAGTGTAGAGACATAAAATGTGCAGGGAGGATGCTCAGACTCACATCACAGAATGGTTTGGGTTAGAAGGGACTTCAAGGATCATCCAGTCCCAACCCCCCTGCCATGGGCAGGGACACCTTCCACTGTCCCAGGCTGCTCCATGCCCCACCCAGCCTGACCTTGGACACTGCCAGGGATCCAGGGGCAGCCACAGCTGCTCTGGGAAGCCTGTGCCAGTGGCTCACATCATGGCAAAGCATTTCTTCCCAATACCCAATCTAAACCTTCCTTCCTTGGCATATCTTTTCTGTAGCAAAACAGGCCTTGATACTCACATTCTTCACCACTCCTCCTGTCCACTGATTCCCTGCCTCCTCCAAATTGCGCCAACCCTAACTGATCACAAAGCTTTGCTGCAGACCAAGCTAAAAGAACTTTCTTCTCCCTCTTGGCCAGGTTGTCAGTTTTCCACATTATTTGTTCAGTCACATCCACCGTGGCCTTGCCTCACGAGCAGTCCAGGGGCGAGGACGGAACTTTGCCCTTAAACATTCCTTTCACATCGACACCACCTCTCTCTCTTGCACGGAGGCTGCTCACTGCTGCCCGCTTCCCAACAGCACCACGGGTCAAATAAACCAGGGCAGGTCACACAACAGAGGCAGCCGAACACCAACTCAGCAGAAAATGAGGGCCTCATTTTCCCTTGGATCAGTTCCGTGCCCGAGTCCACCTTCTGGCTGCTCAATAAAACAATAACTCAAGGCTCAGAGAGAAGACTGAACGGAACCAGTACAAGAAGAAGATGAAGGAGCAGCAGCACAGCCTGTGTTGTGTTGAATTAACCTGGACACAGACACTCCCTTAGGACACATAACTCCAGAGCCTGCCAAATTTTGCTTGACTGGAGAGGCAGCTACAAATGCTACCCCCTCCCCAGAACTTCAGGAGAGGCAACAAGGGGTGGATGAAGTGCTGAGTGAAAAAGGACTTTTTGACCTTTAGTAACTCTTCCTAAATTTCCATTAATTAGTTCTGTCCTACATTATCAGAGAAAGATTCCAGGGTCTCTGCAATTTTCCAAGGTGATAAACATTGCATGAGAGCAGAATAGTACCAAATGCATACAGATCTGACAACTTGTGGGGAAAGAAAGCCAAGATCATTCTGAATCCTTACCAAACACATCTTTTACACTGTTTTTGTCAACCACTTGCTGTCAAACAGGGAACTGAAACACTACTTAATCCTCCAACATATCTCAAATGCACTTGGTATGAAAATAATTCATCAGATCCTATTCTGAAAGCCTAGAAAACAATCAATAACATAAAAAAGGAAGTTGAGAAGCAAGAATGGTACACTAAAGTGTTGTGGATTGAGGTAAGATATAAGAGATAAGAAATAAGAGATTATAAGAGATAAGAAATAAATCCTGCAGTGGGCACAGAAAACTAAAATCAAACTATTATGGGCAAGGTGCCCTCTGTGCTATCCAGCTCAGCAAAACCATCAGAATTAACACAATGCTGACTACACAGGCCTTAGCACTGCAATCTCACACCATGACTGACATGTATGTTATTATTTAGGCACAGTCTGTCAAGTAGCAAAGTGCTGTCAAATAGATAAAAAGCTCCTATTGCAATAAATTCAATTTTGTTTTCATAAGAGCAGGTCTTAAAAGGTGCATTTACCTCATTTTTAAGAGTCAAAGAATTTAAACAATGTACAGAATAAATTAGTTCTTTGCACCAAACACTTTCAGGAGCTGTGGCGACTTAAGGAGTTTATCCTGCACTTTCAGGGCTAACACAGGCAGGGCCTGGATGTGACAAACTCCCTGTCACTGACAGTTCAGCTGTCACTTAAGAGTCACTGCATGTAAACAGAGAGTCACACAAATACAGAATCGTATCTGTGCTGTAAAACACCTCTAAGACCATGGAGTCCAACCATTCCCCAGCCCTCCCAAGGCCACATCCACACGGCTTTTAAATCCCTCCAGGGCCAGAGGCTCCACCACTGCTCTGGGCAGCTGTGCCAGGGCTGGACAGCCCTTTCCATGGAGAAACTGCTCCTGACACACAATTCAAATTCCCAGTTACATGACAGACCGCACTCCTCGCTGTGTGCTTGTTTGCAGCACAACAGGCAGGGAGCCAAACACTGAATTACTGCAGAAAACAGTGCTGAACACAGAGGCTGTGACTGACCCTCTCTGACCCCCTCCTCACCTTCTGCACCCCCTCCCCAGCCTGTGCTCCCCATTCCCACCCCCTGACCACATTCCCACCCTCTGAACCCCATTCCCACTCCCGACCACATTCTCCACTCTCTCAGCCCATTCCCACTCTCTGAACCCCATTCCCACCCCGACCCCATTCCCACCCCCTGAGCCCCATTCCCACTCTGTGAACCCCATTCCCACCCCGACCCCATTCCCACTCTCTCAGCCCATTCCCACTCCCGACCACATTCCCACTCTCTGAACCGCACTCCCACTCCCGACCACACTCCCACTCTCTGAACCCCATTCCCACCCCGACCCCATTCCCACTCTCTCAGCCCATTCCCACTCCCGACCACATTCCCACCCCCTCAATCCCATTCCCACTCCCGACCACAGTCCCACTCTCTGAACCCCACTCCCACCCCCCGACCCCATTCCCACTCTACGACGATCATTCCCACCCTCTGACCCACGCAGCCCTGAGTTTTTGGGAAGTTCCTAATTACTTCCAACTGTCTGGCCGAGCAGGCACGGACGGGACAGCGGTGAGGGAGATCCCCGGGAGGCACGGGAATGGCTCTCGGGGCTCCACTTTTGTAATTCCTGCGGCTCCCACGAGCTGCCTCGCTTTGGGGGCCCCTACAGCGTCCAAGCCGTGACCGCCCGCCCTCAGGGTCCGCGCGGAGCCCCTCAGGGAGGCAGGGATCGCGGGGGACGGGATCCTCACCCCTCAGCAGCGCCATGGCCTCACCGCGCCCGGCCCGGTGCCGCCCCGCCCGCCGGCTCCGCACATTCGCCACGCTGAGGGCGGGAGGGGCGGCCGGGCAGGCAGTTTGCTTAAAGTTATTTTCTACGCGTAATTTTAGATTTTTGATAAATTTATTGTAAATGTGCGGGGGCGGGGCGGGGGGGGGTGTTTGGTTGGTTTTAAAATTTTGCTTCAGCTTGGTTTGATATTTTTTTCGTGCGGTTTTGGCGAATCGGCGGCAGGGGGAGCGGGGGCGGGAGGTGATGGCTGAGGGGAGAGGGTCCCCCCCGCCCTCCTCACAGGTAATTACAGCGTGTCACGGTTAATTGCAGATAATCGTGGGATCGCTTCCGTTGGAAAGCACCTCCGAGATCATCGAGTGCAACCTGTCACCCGATCCCCACCTCGTCACCCAGCCCAGAGCTCTCCGTGCCACGTCCAGGCCCCCTTGGACACCTCCAGGGAGGGGGACTCCAACTCCTCCCTGGGCAGTTCCAGTTCCTGACCTCCCTTTCCCTGGGGAAATCCCTTCTGATGTCCAACCTGAGCCTGCCCTGGCGCAGGTGAGATCTATAAACCTCTTCGAGGGGGTTGTGGAGGGCCGCACCCCTGAATTCCTGCACAATCCGTGGCTGAGCCACCGCTGCCCCGAATTCCAAGCTTTGGCTTCCCTGAGCACAGATGGAGATGAGCAGGAGCTGCTTGCAGCCCATGGGTTTGAAACCTGCAAGCATTTGGATAGTCTCCAAATTTTCCAACATAGCAGACAGTGAAAAACACAGGGATAAAAGGGGTAAAAAACCTGCAATCATGTATTCCCTCTTCTGGAGGGAAGAGCTGGTCCCTCCTTGGGCTGCAGTGAACACCTAGGCTCGGTCTCGGTGATGCAGCACCATGGATGCTGCGCGGGGGCGGGGCGGGGGGGGGGGTTTGGTTGGTTTTAAAATTTTGCTTCAGCTTGGTTTGATATTTTTTTCGTGCGGTTTTGGCGAATCGGCGGCAGGGGGAGCGGGGGCGGGAGGTGATGGCTGAGGGGAGAGGGTCCCCCCCGCCCTCCTCACAGGTAATTACAGCGTGTCACGGTTAATTGCAGATAATCGTGGGATCGCTTCCGTTGGAAAGCACCTCCGAGATCATCGAGTGCAACCTGTCACCCGA